TATCCAAGTAGACGACGCCGTTATTGCTATGCTGCAATGGGGAAATTCTCATCCTGTAATGGGGTAATGGTTACGACAGCTTGGTATACCCTTGGGGGAAGTATTATCGAGCTAATATCAACCCAGCTATTTGTTGTAGTCCCGTTTCACAACAATTGTTAATTACATTTTTGAAGTTAAACGGCAAAGGAAACGGGAAATTTTTTGAATTCACACAATGGAAGATTTCTCTGAACGAGCAAAATTCGAACGAGTGGACGAGATCATGACGACACAAAGGGTGTTGGACGAGTTCCTAACCAATGCAATTGTATAGAAAGTTGTCTACAGCATCCCTATTGTCAGAAATTGTTTTCTCTGCTGCCAATGGTTAGATAAGGGTCCTAACGATCTATTTTGTACTGTTTGTATTCTCAACACATGGGCTGTATCGTGAATGATGCAGCCTCTGCGAATTGGATAAAACACGGCCGCTTTGGGGTGTGGCATCCAGCGCAGCCAACCTTTGAGTTCATATTAAGCCCTATCTAGGTGGTTTTTCGACCCGACACATTTTTGATGGCATCCTCAGAGGACAGATATGCTCCATTTGGCGATCTCAGGGATCACTGCTATAGTGGATTATATTTTGAGTGAAGAGAGGAAAATATATGAGCTATAACTCGAACAATGAAAAATGATTCGTCGTTGTGTTCAGGGTTTAGTAATTGTAGAGCTGTGGAGCTTGCTTCCATGGGAGGCTGCTACATGGTATGGGGAGGCTCGGTAAGGAATGTGGGATCGCTAATTTCAAGTTCAATTGTTATCTTTATTGCTAGAAACGGCTCCACAACCACTCAAACTTGAAACAACTGGCTGTCCTTGTCTCTTTACTCATCAGAGGTGGAGGCTGCAGTAAAAAAGAGAATTGCACAATGTTCACATTTACCAATCACAAAATCCAGTACAAACTTTACACAAATCCAAATACACATTCAACAATCTACTAAAATTGTTGGATTACAGGCATGATAGTTCAATTTCGGAAGTAGCCAAACGTTCAAAGCAGTAAAATATCCAAGAGAGACTTCAGACGACATCACTGAGTTCACGGAATGAGATTTGTGCCAGCGAACGAGTCGATCCATTGATTCGAGGCGAGTCAGACACCTGAAACCTCTGTTATTTGTCTGCTCATGAAACCGTCTGCGATATTCAACTTCATTTTGTGGGAACTTCAAGGCGACGTTGCTAAGCTTAGCTATTGAGTTCGTTAGGCCGTTTGTCTTCCTTACCTATTTTTTCACTTTGTAATGGCCAAGCTGTCTCTCCATAGTCGACACGCTCTTCTTCACAAGTTTGAATTAGGACACCCAAATTCTAAAGCCCATGGACGTAACGTAACTGGCCTTCAAGCTAATTCTGGGCGGTTCTGTTCCTGCATGGTCTATTGTTTTGAAGCTTGGAACAAGTTCAAGAAGAGCCTCTTCACGCTCAACCGAGCAGCGGTCTCATGAAATCTCCGGATATGCGTACGAGTCCTTTTACGCTCCTTCTACTGTTTTTTCTGGATCACCCTAGGAAAAACACCTGGGCTATCTTGGAGGAAGCTTACCCCGGACCCTAATAGTGTGATTCGCACAACTCGAAGTTGCCGAACAGACCTTATTGTTCTCTTGTTTTATCAGAAATTACTTGAAATAGTACTTTGTGATCTGATCAAGGAGATGTACATTCGAATGAAGCTTTACTGAACTACAGCATGAATGCATCACACAGTTTGTTTCTGAAGTTTTCGAATTTTTCCTAACCTCATTTTTTCATATGATGAATTTAGGATACGTACCGCATTCACACTGCTCGCACTTCTGATGTATTTTCTGACGACATCTCCTACTGTCGGTGGACGTGGTCGTGAGAGAATCACTTCATGGACGGATGAAATGAAGCAATCAAAGATGTGGTCCCGCGAAGAAACTGTCTGAAAGCTCATTTTTGATCCAAATATTAGGACCACTTTTTCGCTACGGTTTATAAGCCCATATGAAGATTCCTAATGCACTGGGTTACCCCTTTATCCTTTCTTTAACCAATGAACGAGAAATTATTTAAAAAGCACCTTAGAACGTGCTTTCCACAGGTTGATAAGTTTGGACCATTCGTTAGCCCTTATCCGCTGGCATGCTCTGGTTAATCGGCTACGTTCCTGAAGATCTTTCAATTTGATGTATTCATGATATGTGACTTTCTTACCAGTTTTATTCGTAAAAGGAACTACTCCGTTTGTAAAAGTCAACTTACAGTCATCGTTAGATATTTTTTCGGTTTTTGCGACACATCACTGATCAGCCATGAATAGTCGGGGATCCTTTTCTGCAAGCATTCCTGAGATTTTCGCAGTTCCTGAAAAATGGGCCTTTATTCCGATTACAAAGCTTAGGATAAGCCATGATCTCAGCTAGGATAGGATCCCTAGAATGACGCTGGAAAATGAGACTAAGCCTTCATGCAGCGCTTGCAGAGCGTTGAACGACGTCAAGGGTCGGAACAGGGTACCGCAAAAGTACCGTTGAATAATGGTTGAACCTCATCTGCTCTGAACAACCCCTTGACTTCTCATTTTTTTGGAAAAGAAACCTCGAGTTTTTCGAATGTTGAAAGCCTATCTCTTCTAGGACAGTCAGATATTAAGCTGTTCATGCGAAGCCCTCGAACTACAGCATAAGGTTTCGACTTGGGTTATCAGGTGTTTCGCGTACTAATTAGACATTCCTGATGGCTGCCTTGACTTCCGAACTACGGTAAGCGACTTCCGCTTCTTTCAACATCGTCAGTCTTTCGGAACGAATCTTTGATCCTCTGCTCTCCAGCAAATTGAAGCGCAAAAGACGAAACTACCCCCTAGCCTTGCATATCGGACAACGAATTTCGTTGGCCGGCCAAAACGTATCTTGAGATTGCGAAAGGATGGCAAGATGGATGTTGAGTGAATTTTGTCAAGGGGCATTACATCTATGTTACTTTACACGTTGTCAGAAAAGGGTTGTAATAGGAGGCGTTGCAACCAAGATTGGTCCGGATCGGATTTGAATCATATTTTTGGGTGAGGCGATACCCAGTTTCCGCCGGGCAAATCTTGCTTTTCATTCTACTGCCGCATTAGGTGAATTGATACCGAACTCGTCCAAGACAAATACTGGCCTATCAAAGAACCTCTACGATTCTGTATTAGGAGCAAGATGTCAAGTTCCGCCTTTCAGATAATCCTCGCACATTAGAAGACAAAGAAAACCTCCTGTGCGGCACATTGTAGTGACATGACCATTAAAGAGAGGAAAACATTAATCCAACTAGACAATGTTGTTCATTTTATGTTTACTTGACGCCTTCACACCCTCAATGAAGCCCGATCTTCGATATTTGGGATTAGAATCCCTTTGAGTCAACTCCTACATCTTCTGGAAGATTCTGATCTTCAATAAATTTGAAGCCTTAGTATCCTGTCATTTCTCAGATAGGAACTCTTACAGAGTCTGTATTCCGTCCATGTATTTGAAAGTTGAACTAAAGCTCCAGTTATTTTCCCCTTAATTATACCGTGGACAGAGTTGATCTAGAGGCAAGTGGCGCAATATCACCCACATCGTTCGGGGACAGAGTCCGCGATTGGTATCCGCCGAGGATGGGAGCTAGACTCGTCTGGGAGGATAAGAACTCTGATTTGTACACCGGTGAGCCAACAAAAGTCGTTATACAAGCCACATACACATTCACAATGATTCTGAATAGAAGTCGAATGCAGGGAGCACTCTAGAAAGGGAATTGTTTAGCGCCAGAATACTTAAGATTTCTATACCACAAAATATTGAAGAGTCAGTGCCATGAATGACCCCGTACGTCGAGTTTTCACGTGCACCCCTTCGGAAACAAAAAACTAGGGACGGGAGCAGTTTCCTTCTTTTTCGTGTGGCATCTTTTGAACCTCTCTTTATAAGTTCATCTCAATGTGAGTTTTGCTTCGAGGGGACCCACGACTCTGAGTACTCTAGTCATGATGGACTTCTAGTCCAGGTTTGTTACTACAACTAGTCACGGGGAACCAATCTACTATAACAAAGATGATGGAGCGGAACTACCTGCTCTGTTTCGAATTCCGCCACTTTCGCCTCCACTTCGGCCAAAATCAAGTCGATCATCATAACGTCGTCGTTGTCCTCGATGTCGTCACGGCCATCTTCTTTTTCGTCGACCACTCGGGTCGAGGTTACATCAGTCAGCCATTTAAGCATTTTTGAACGAGCTTATCTAAAATTCGTTTGACTAAGAACATTGCTCCCTGCGGAATCACACTACTTTTGGAGCGACAAAAGGTCCGAAAAGTTGTTGCAGCATGAGCTTAAGTTTTGTAATTACAGGAGAAATGATCGACATTTTCAGAAACTGTGAAGCCACAAAATCGTCAAGCAGAGGGAAGGTTCATGCATCAATCAGAGGAGGAACAAGTTATGGAAAATTTTGCCTATACTAGTTATAGGAAACATTTTGGTGTTTAGAAGAGAAAGATCTCTTTAGATAGAGCTCCTGAACTGTACAATCCATTAGTTAAATAAATTCCATAGCTTCATTCTAAAGAAGTGTCAGCAGATTAGTGGCAGCAATCACTGGCATCACATTAGTGTGTTACTCTGTAATGTAATGGGAAGATGTTATCTCGAGAAAATTCTCCATGGGGGACCGCCCACAAGTTTTTATGGCAAATGGCTTGAAAGGTGAACGAGCAATCTCTCAAAGGCTGATGCGACGGCGAAAGCTAATGCTTCCGGTTCTCCAGTGTTACTATATCACGGCGTTAGCCAAACGGCGCAGATTCTGTGAAGTAGGGCCGAGAACAGGGCCTACTAGGGATATCTAAATTCTCCATCATGATCAGCACACACTACTGCTAATGCGTAGCGCCTTCCTGTTATCTCCTCTACGTTTCCAGCAAACAAACATATATGTATATGTATGCTATCTGTTCCGATTACTGATACGATTGGGGTTGCGACTCATCTTCGAGTATTGAGTGTGTCTGTGTTATTTACAGACATGCCAGGACTCAAAAGGAATGAACCATTTCCAGAGCGACACTAAAGTATCAGGAGTTCCGTGATGACATCGTACAGAAGTAAACCGGCATTCTAGAGAAGTAACCAGGCTGACAGCACGGCATATCAGACTTGTGGAAGCATATCAGGCTTTATCAGAATAACTCGTTTTTAACATCGGTGCAGACTAATGGTTGGCATCAGAATACAACAATTTCGTACTTCGAGTCACTCTGGCTCACGTTTCACCATCCCAACAATCAGGAAGAGAACTCTCTTACTACTTCACATTTTTGCCCAGTACGTCAGGATTAAAGCTGCCCAGTATACTGGGATTCAGAGATTTTGAGAGAGTTTGACGATACAGTCCGTTTTGAATGTCACATATATAACCGTAATCGTTCATAGTAAAGCTGTTATTCTGAAGAAAGTAATTTTAAAGAGTATATGGACCAATTCAGTGTTCCATGTGTGGTCATTGCCAGAGCTCGATCAAATAGAGAAGCAGCAGAAATGATTGAATGTGTTTCGATTTTTAGCCTTTTCTTTAACATTTTCTATTATCACCAATTCTAAGTTGTTGACGGCTTATCGTGAAGCTCAAGAGTACATCTTGTAAGAGAGCTCTCTCAGGTGTTCGGAAGAACTTTCCTCGAAAGTCTAGCCTTAGGAGGTTAGGACCTAGTCTTAGCATAACAGGGTGCTCTAGTTAAGAAGGACCAATGTTAGTTGGAATATGAAAAAATCATGGATCTTGGTTGGCTGAGGAGCAATAAAGCTAAACAGTACCCCCCTCATGACAGCGACATTCACGATAGTCAACGAAATCATTCATAAGCAGCCAGTCCATTGTTAAGGGAGAGCATGGGAGCAGAACAAGAAGAAATGGAGTTGCTGTGAAAGACGTTGACGTTTGAGAAATCAAAGGATGT